CAGTTGCACTATTGTTGGCTGAAATCCTCAACGTTGTTCAAGTGTTCTCCCCAGCCCAAGCTGTTACTGTTTGTTACTGTTGTTACTGTTGTTCAGTGGTCAGCAAGCAGAAAATGACAAAAAACCCGGGTAAAACCCGAAAATACCTGGGGTTTTCCAGGTATTTTCGGGTATTACCCGCACTGGACGCTGGAGATCGTCGTGGGTCACTGCCAGGCCTTCCTTATTGTTGTTCAGCTGGCCTAACGTTAGCTACTGTTGTTGGGGAGCCCCACTGTTGTTCTGTTGTTACTGTTAACACTAGCAACACTGTTCAGCTCTTAACGTTTGACAGCTCTATCCTCGAGCCGGAGGGCAACGGGCAGGCCGCGTCTCTCCACGCCCACGCCTCTCGGAGTTTGGGGCGCGCTCTCGCGTGGGGAGCGCTGGGGACGCGTCTATCTCGGGCATCGGCGATCGGAGTTTCTTTTTCGTTTTATCTGTGATTAGAGCGTATCTGCGGGGTGTTCTGGCCATGCTCTGGGGCCGAGCCTTGGCGAGACTGCGTCAGCTGTTTCCACAACTTACCTCGCCAGCCTACATGCACACTGTCCCGGGAGAGGGACCTCCGCACCTCTCTATACACGACGTACACCGGGGGCTGTAGCGCGGAGAGCCGTAGTAGACGGGTACTGAGTACAGGTGGGACACGCAGTTCACCACAGGAGGCCGTTGCAGCCTTTTCTTCATGCCCGCCGCTGGCCCTTCACAGGTCGCCTAGTCCACTCGTACGCGACCGCAGCCACGGTGGCCGCGCACCGCACCCGGTGCGCCGTCCGCGTCGCCGTGCTGGCGCCGACGGTGTACTCTGTGTTGGCTGCGGCCGCCGCCTCGTAGGCGACGGCACAGAGGAGCACCGAGCGGTCGGCCGAGCCGCCGAGAGCCGCGCTCGCGAGCATGAGCCCGTATGCTCCCAGGAGCGCGGCCACGTGCCGGCCCCACATCGCCGGGATGTCCGAGATGGGAGCGCCTCCGAGCGACTCTCCGAGCTGCAGCGCGGCGAGCGCCTGCTGACGAGCGGCGTACTGGAAGGAGAAGAGGAGCGAGAGCAGGGACAGGCAGGCGAAGACGGCGCGTGTGCCGGCGGCGAGCATATGCAAAATCCTCGATCAGCACGCGCACTCTGCTCGCGCACCAGCGAGCTTAGTGCGGCGGTGAGCCATGTCTAGAAAAGAGAAAATTCTCCGACGAAAGAGAATTTCCAAAGAAAAAAGAAAAGAGAGACGCGATCATTTGCTTGCGGACAGCAACGGTCAAGGCTCTGCCCGGCAGTGGGACGATGCCGCGGCCTTGGGGCCGCCTCCTCTTCACCGGCGGCGAGGAAGGCGACGCCACCCTCCGCAAGGTCGACCTCACCGAAGGCGAGCACATCGTCGGTCGCCGGCCAGGCGCGGCGTCCCTCGCTGCTGCTGCCTCTGCCCGGCCGGCCACGCCCTTGCCGCGGCCGCTGCCGCTGCCCCCGCGCGGCCGCAGCCCACGCCGCCGTCCTTCTCGCCACTGTCGGGACAGCGCTGCCGCCCCTCCCGCCGGCGGCGGCGGCGCCGCCCTCCGCTGCCGCGCCGCCGCCCGCGCGCTGCGACGGCCCTCCTTCCCTGTTGCCCGCCCCAGAGTGCCTCGTCGTCTACACCGACAACCGCATCTCCAGCACCCACTTCAAAATCTCGCTCCGCAACTCGAGCGACCTCGGGCGCGTGGCGTCACCGCCGCCGCCACCGCCACCGCTGCTCGCCACCGCCACCGCCACCGCTGCTCGCCTCCGCCCTCGCCGCCCTCCGCCGCCCTCCACCGTCATCACCGCCGCCATCGCCGCGCTGTCACACGCGCGCCGCCGCCGCCCAGGAAGCGCGCCTTCGACGTCTGCCTCGAGGACTGCTCTGCGAATGGCACCTACCTCAACGCTCAGCTCGTTGGAAAGGGTCCACTCCTTGCACGCTCGCCTCGCTGCGCTTTGCGGGAGAGACGCCTCCCTCACTCTGCTTCGCCCCGTGCCAACAGGCAACTTTTGCTTCCTGTTCCAGCGCGATGAGATCGGGCTGCTCAAGCCGTGCGGCGGCGACGAGCAGCCGCCGTACGCCTACATCTTCCACGACCTGACCGACGGCTGCAAGCCTCTCTAGATGCGGCAGAGAGCCGCGGCAGAGAGCCCGCGCGTATGTAGAGCACTCGAGATCGCCGCGAGCGCAACAAACTACCTTCTCGAGAGACGTGCTCTGCCGGCTTCTGTACTCGCGGCCGTCGACGTCTCGCGATGCGCTGACTGCGCCGCACTGTGCCGTGCTCGCACGCCTCCAGCCCACTGCCGCTGTGACGCAGGCACCGCCGACCACTTCCCCTTTCTGGCCACCGACGCGACGCCGCAGCGCGCCGCCAAGGCGGTGCCGCCGCTGTCCGTGTCGGGGCTGAGCAGCTCTGGCCCGACGCCCCTCCCGACGGAGCGCGCCTCCGCAGCCTCCTCCTCCTCCAACGGCACCGCCAAGAAGCGGCTCGGCGGCATCTTTGGCTCGCGAGCCAGCTCGCGGTGCGACACAGACGAGGCGGCAACGCCGCCGTCGGAGCAGCACTCCCTCGGCGCGGAGTCCGTGGGGGATGAGTCCTTGGACCTGGTCTCTCGCCAGCTCGCCATGCTCAACGACCCGAGCCCGACAGGCGGAGGGGGGAGATATGGGCGAGATCGGGTCGAGATCGGGGCGAGGTATAGAAGCGGGTGGCGCCACTCTCCCATGCACACGCGCCCGCCCACACGCCGCAGCCGTGGGGGCGTGAGGAGCACCTCTTCACAGCCTGCGCTGTGAACAGGCATGCACACGCTCAACCACACGCTGCAGCGCGGCTTCAAGTTCCAAGCCGACGCGATCGCCCTCGGCGGCGTCACGGCGTTCATGGACGTCATCGGCGCGACGATGGCCAAGCCGAAGAAGACGGCGATGGACTTGCAGGTTCTCGACATCGCGCTCGACATGCTGCTCACCACCAGCGCGTCGGAGGAAGGCGCCTCCTCGCTGCTTGACGAGGAGGGCGGCTTCGACAAGCTCGTCTCCGTCCTCTCGAGCCCGGCGCAAAAGACGCGCTCCAAGGCGCTGCAGCTGCTCGCCTGCATGGTCGTCTACACGGACAAGCCGCTCGTCGAGTCCTCGCTTCGCCGCGCCAACCGGTACGGCGGCGCGAGCCCCGGCGTGCTGCTTGCCTCTTTGCTGCGCGACAAGGAGGGGGCGCTCCCGGAGGCGCAGACGTGCACCGATGTGGTCACGCTGCTCAACGCACTGGTCGCGTGCTCCGGTGCCCCCCCGCCGGCCTCGTCCGCTTTTTCAGCGCGGGCGGTGGAAGGATTCATCCGTTAGTTCACGGCTGACAGGTAACCCCGCCGCCCTCGTCGACGAGCTCTCCAGCGCCGGCGTCGACGACGCGCTCACCGAGATCGAGCCGCTCTTCTCCTCCAGCCCCGACCTCGCCCTGCAGGTGGTCGGCCAGCACACTTCATCCTTGACTCACAGCTCATCTTAGTTGCCACGACCTCGCCCCTGCAGGTCGACCAGCTAGTTCCTTCGCACTTCATTCTTGACTCACAGCTCATCACTGAATCCTTCATCACAGCTCGTCACACCACTCCAACCTCCCCCCCTGCAGGTCGACAGATACGGCGCACAAAAGGCGAAGCTCGCAGGCGTAGAGCTCGCTCCGCCGCCGCCGCCGCCGCCGCCGCCCGGCCCGCCGCCGCCGCTCCCGCCGCCGCCGCTCGCGCCCCCGCCGCTCGCGCCTCCGCCG